CTCTCTCTCTCTCTCTCTCTCTCTCTCTCTCTCTCTCTCTCTCTCTCTCTCTTTCTCTCTGTCCAGGCTCATGAGCTAGGACGCATTTGAAGAAAACTAAAACAAACAAACCTGCTACCCCGTCACCCCCGTGATCGATTCTTTGCTCTGGACAACTGAGTCCAGCTGTGGAGACAAGCACCCCTCAGGTAGACGAACACCCCTAGACTTCATCCGCAGTCTTAACTCTGGCGAACGACGCTACCAAGGCCAGCAGGGGGGGCTGTTTCCGTAAGAGGAAGAAACGGCTCACTTTCTGAGGTGCAGGGAAAGGAACCTTAGTTGCTTGGTCAGAACGTTGGTTATACTGCGGCAAAGGTACAGGGCAAATTGCTTCTGAAAAAATGTTTTCTTTTGTGAAGCACAATCTTAATGGTCAGAAGGTTTTCTTCGGTGCGGTTAGCTTTGCTGTGTAACCGCATGTGTGCCTGTAGAACCTCAGGGCTGTTGGTTACGTTAAGAGGGAGGGGCCTGAAATACAGCATCAGCCGGTGTCACCGGGCTTAGATATAAGCCTCTGTCTATGCGTGTTAAAACTGGGAATGAAAGTTTGTGCTGTTCTCATTTACCAGGTTAATGGGAGGATCAAGTGAGCCAAGTCCCGGCGGAGAAATGCTGTGAAAATGGAACTCGGTGGTGCGTGGGTTTATTTTCTCCAAGACGGCCAGGAAAATACAAAAGTGAAAGGTTCCAAGCCACTCGTTTGAGAAGAAAGAAAACAAAACCTTCAAGCAACTTGATTATAGTCACCATCTCATAGTGATGACTTTTTAAAAAGGCACAAGTTGCTTTATTAGTGTTTTAATTAAATTTTATATTTATATTAACAGCAGTTTATTCACTTTGTATCCCAGCTGTAGCCTTCTCCCTCCCACCCTCCGAATCTCACCCTCCCTCCCTTATCTCCTCCTATGTCCCTCTCCCAGTCCACTGATAGGGGAGGTCCTCCTCCCCTTCCCTCTGACCCTAGCCTATCAGGTCTCATCAGGACTGGCTGCATTGTCTTCCTCTGTGGCCTGGCAAGGCTGCTCTCCCATGGGGGATGTTGGTCAAAGAGCTAGCCACTGAGTTCGTGTCAGCGACAGTCCCTGTTCCCCTTACTAGGGTGCCCCCTTGGAGACTGAGCTGCCATGGGCTACAGCTGAGCTGGGGTTCTAGGTTATCTCCATGAATTGTTTTTGTGTAAGAGTTAACGTCTGACTCTAGTGTCTGAAGAAAAAACAAACGATCTACTGGCCAGAGCCAGGACAGCCCTTGGGCTGTCACATTTGGACTTTAGGTTTCCCTGGGATAGAGAACAGGTGTTCTTAGCCCAAAGAGACCGATGGGGCTTCTCAGGAAACCAAAAGGATTAAGCGTTTGATACAACAATCAAATTGTGCCCAAGTTTCCAATTCCAATAAACGTAACTTGTTAGGTTGAATCAATGGATCCAGTTAGAAGATACTATATTATTCAGTAATAACATTACCAGATACCTATATAAACTCATACACACACACACTGTGTACATGTATGTCTGTACATACACACACAGATATGTACACATCTACCTGACTCTCTAGGTGCCTAGGAACTAGCAATCAGATTTTAAAAGTATGTAAATTCCAGAATCAGTTCTTTTTTAAAAACTCACATGTTTTAAAAACAATGTCATTTTTTTCCTAGTTCCATATTTAAAAGAAAATATGACCATTAAAATATATATAACTTGATGGTTCCCCTACAGAAGTTCCCCCAGATGGGAAAAGGAGTTGTGAAGTTGGGAGAGGAAAAGAACACAGACATATTTTCTGTGGCAACTTGTGCTTTTTCTCTTAGCACTTTGAATTTGTTGATTTTGTATTAAGAATTTTTCTCTCTGGCTGGAGAGATGACTCAGCCATTAAAGGCTAGGCTCACAACCAAAAATATAAGAATTTTCTCTCTTACTCTCCAAGGATTTCAGTTAGCTCGTTTTGGAAACGGGAGTAAAACGATGTAAAGGGAAGAATGGAAATTTAAGCCTATATGGCCTGGGATCACCACTGTCTTTCATTCATTGCTGTTGTTTTTTTCCGTTCAGCAACTGCCGATGTTTAATTAATGGAAGCAGCAGTGTCCTCCCCTTCCTAGCTGGGACTTTGTTTTAATCTTTGAGCCTCACATACTTTAATCTGTAAAATACTGGTGGAAATATTATTATGTTTTCTTTGAGGATTACATAAGTAATTATTCAAATTTTGGAAATCTCATAGGCATTCAAAAATATGCCATTTTTCTTTTTTTTTCACTTTTTAAAAATTTTTTATTAATTACACTTTATTCATTTTGTATACCCCATAAGCCCCTCCCTCCTCCCCTCCAGATCCCACCCTCCCTCCCCTTTCTGCATGCATGCCACTCCCCAAGTCCTCTGATAGGGGAGGTTCTCCTCTTCTTTCTGATCTTAGTCTATCAGTTCTCATCAAAAGTGGCTTCATTGTCCTCTACTGTGGCCTGGTAAGGCTGCTCCCCCCTCAGGGGGAAGTGATCAACGAGCAGGCCAATCAGATTATGTCAGAGGCAGTCCCTCTTCCCATTACTATGTAACCCACTTGGACACTGAACTGCCATGGGCTACACCTGTGCAGGGGTTCCAGGTCATCTCCACGAATAGTCCTTGGTTGGAGTATGATTTTCTGGGAAGTTCCCTGTGTTCAAATTATCTTGTTCTGTTGCTCTGCTTGTGGAGTTCCCGTTCCCTCCAGCTCTTACTATTTCTCACTTCTTACATAAAATTCCATTCACTCTGCCCATCAGTTGGCCATCAGGCTCAGCATCTGCTTTGACAGTCTATACTGCAGAAGCTTTCAGAGGCCCTCTGTGGCAGGTTTCAAGGTTGTTTCCTGTTTTCTTCTGGCTTTCAGAGGCCCTCTGTGGCAGGTTTCAAGGTTGTTTCCTGTTTTCTTCTGGCTTTCAGAGGCCCTCTGTAGCGGGTTCCGAGGTTGTTTCCTATTTTCGTTTTCTTCTGATGTCCATCCTCTTTGCCTTTCAGGATGGGGATTGAACATTTTAGTTAGGGTCCTCTCTTTTGCTTAGTTTGTTTAGATGTACAGCTTTTAGTGGGTTTATTCTATATTGTATGTTTATATGAGTGAGTATATACCGTGAGTGTCTTTTTGCTTCTGGGTCAACTCACTCAGGATGATCCTTTCCAGGTCCCACCATTTACCTGCAAATTTCATGATTTCCTTATTTTTCATTGCTGAGTAATACTCCATTGTATAGATGTACCACAGTTTCTGCATCCATTCTTCAGTTGAGGGACATCTGGGTTGTTTCCAGCTTCTGGCTATTACAAATAAAGCTGCTACAAACATGGTTGAGCAAATGTCCTTTTTGTGTACTTGAGCCTCTTTTGGGTATATGCCTAGGAGTGGTATGGCTGGATCTTGAGGAAGCACTATTCCTAATTGTCTGAGAAAGCACCAGATTGATTTTCAGAGTGGTTGTACCAGTTTACATTCCCACTAGCAGTGGAGAAGGGTTCCCCTTTCTCCACAACCTCTCCAGCATGTGTTGTCCCTTGAGTTTTTCATCTTGACCATTCTGATGGGTGTAAGGTGAAATCTCAGGGTTGTTTTGATTTGCATTTCCCTTATGGCTAATGAGGATGAGCATTTCTTTAAGTGCTTCTCTGCCATTCGATATTCCTCTACAGAGAATTCTCTCTTTAGCTCTGTTCCCCATTTTTTAAGTGGATTACTTGGTTTGTTGCTTTTCAGCTTGTTTAGTTCTTTATATATATTGGATATGAGTCCTCTGTCAGATAAAGGGTTGGTGATGATTCTTTCCCAATCTGTAGGCAGTCGCTTTGTTTTGATGACGGTGTCCTTTACTTTACAGAAACTTTTCAATTTCATGAGGTCCCATTTATTGATTGTTGCTCTTAGAGCCTGTGCTGTTGGTGTTCTGTTCAGGAAGTTTTCTCCTGTACCAATGAGTTCTAGGGTATTCCCCACTTTTTTTTCTAGCCGATTTAATGTGTCTGGTTTTATGTTGAGGTCTTTGATCCACTTGGACTTCAGTTTTGTGCAGGGTGATAAATATGGATCTATTTTCATTTTTTTACATGTAGACATCCAGTTGGACCAGCACCATTTGTTGAAGATGCTCTTTTTTCCATTGTATGTTTTTGGCATCTTTGTCAAAAATCAGGTGTCCGTAAGTGTGTGGGTTTATTTCTGGGTCTTCTGTTCGATTCCATTGATCCACCATTCTCTTTCTATGCCAGTACCATGCAGTTTTTAAAACTGTTGCTCTATAGTACAGCTTGAGATCAGGGATGGAGATACCTCCAGAAGTTCTTTTATTGTAGAGGATTGTTTTAGCAATTCTCGGTTTCTTGTTATTCCATACGAAGTTGAGAATTTTTCTTTCCAGGTCTGTAAAGAATTGTGTTGGCAATTTGATGGGAATTGCATTAAATCTGTAGATTGCTTTTGGTAAGATGGCCATTTTTATTATGTTAATCCTGCCAAGCCATGAGCATGGGAGATCTTTCCATCTTCTCATATCTTCCTCTAATTCTTTCTTCAGAGACTTGAAATTTTTTTCATACAAGTCTTTGACTTGCTTGGTTAGGGTTACACCAAGGTACTTTATGTCATTTGTAGCTATTGTGAATGGTGTTGCTTCCCTAATTTCTTTCTCAGCCCTTTTGTCTTTTGTATACAGGAGGGCTACTGATTTTTTTGAGTTAATTTTGTATCCGGCCACTTTGCTGAAGGTGTTTATCAGCTGTAGGAGTTCCCTGGTAGAGTTTTTGGGGTTGTATTTTCCCTTCCAGTGTCTTCTGTAATGCTGGATTTGTGTGTAGGTATTGTTGAAATTTGTTTTTGTCATTGAATATCTTGTTTTCTCTGACTATGAGGACTGAGAGTTTTGCAGGGTATAGTAGCCTGGGTTGACATCTGTGTTCTCTTAGGGTCTGCATGATATCTGTCCAGGCCCTTCTGGCTTTCATAGTTTCTGTTGAAAAGTCAGGTGTGATTCTAATGGGTTTGCTGTTATATGTTACTTGGCCTTTTTCCCTTGCAGCTTTTAGTATTTTTTCTTTGTTCTGTATACTTCCTGTTTTGATTATTATGTGGCGGGAGGATTTTCTTTTCTGGTCAAATTTGTTGGGTGTTCTGTGGCCTCATGTATCCTTATTGGCTTCTCCTTTAACTTGGGGAAATTTTCTTCAATGATTTTGTTGAAAATATTTTCTGGGCCTTGGTGCAGGGAATCTTCTTTTTCCTCTATTCCTATTATTCTTAGGTTTTGTCTTTTCATATGGTCTTGGATTTCTTGGACGGTCTGTGTCAGGAATTTTTTGGATTTAACATTTTCTTTGACAGATACATCGATTTCTTCCATTGTATCTTCTACACCTGAGATTCTTTCTTCCATTTCTTGTAGTCTGTTGGTTATGCTTACCTCTGTAGTTCCTGTTTCCTTCCTTAAATTCTTTCTCTCCATTATTTCCTCCATTTGTGTTTTCTTTAATTTTTCTAGTTCTTTCTTCAGGTCTTGAGTTGTTTTGTTTACTTCCTTCACCTATCTGCTTCTATTTTCCTCTTTTTCTTTTAGTTCCTTCAACTTTGTCTCTTTTATTTCTTTCAGTGATTTAATTATTTCTTCTCTGAAGGCCACAAGCTGTTTGGCTGCATCTTCCCGTATTTCTTCACGGATGGCCCTAATCTGCTTGTCTTTATCTTCCTCCATTTCTTTACGGATAGCCATGATCTGTTTGGTTTTATCTTCCTCTAATTCCTTACGTATTTTATTTGTTTCCTCTATTATCCTCTTCATCAACATAGAT